CCACTAAGTTCTGTGCCCCATCGCCACGCCCCTTCCCCCCATCATCACATCCTCAATATCCAGGACTCACTAGAAGGGAACAAGCAGAGTTGAGTTTGTGGTATGCTTCACTGAAGGAGGTATAAACAGGAACAGTGATAGATAGTTGTCATTGGAACACCTACACTGAGGTGCTATACTTATTACAAACTTAAATCATATAGAAGGTTGGTTTCTAGCTCTGTGACTGTGAGCGAGTTCCTTAACCTCTATGTGCCTAAAGGTTCTTATGTGTGAAAGAGGGTAACGCTGTCGCTGGTAGGCGCCACTGAGACAAATTTTGACTCATAGAGACCTTATGTGACAGAGAGAACTGTCTCTTAGGGTTTTCTTATCTGTAATGGGTCTGAGAGCATATCGCAAATCCTTTCTCAGGAGCTTCTGGTTGGGTTTAAACTGCTACGTTTCAGTAATCAGCTAAGCATTTAACTATTGTGTCATCAGCATAGAGTAACATTAAACAAATTTCCATGGAGTTTCATAGAGACACCCATAGGGCAGAGTGGAGCTTTGGTGGCCTAGTGGTAAGAAGTTGCAGTGCCAACCCTGAGGCACATGGTTCGAATCCACCAACTGCTCCACGGGAAAAAGTTGGACCATCTCCTCTCATGCAATTTAAAGCTGCTGAAAACCTGCTGGAGGGTCAGCTATAAGTTGGTTCTGACTTGATGCCACATAACAACATAAGACAGAGCAGAACTGACCCAAAGTGCAGTTTTCTAAAGGAAAATAGGATTTCCAAAGCTGTAAATTTTTATAGAAGTAGACTGTCACATCTTTCATCTTGGGGTAATAATAGGATTAAAACCATAAGAGAATTCTAGGAATAAAAAAAAATTTGTAATTTGTATAGATTACCACATTGAGTGTGAAGTTTATTACTAAATGTGAACATTTATTAAGTAGTGAAGGGAGCTCTAGTGGTCTAGTGGTAAGAACCAACGCTGCAATCCAGAAGGCACACGGTTCAAATCTGCAAATTGCTCCACAGGAGAAGGATGGGCAATACGATTAACGGCCTCTAAAAACCTTCCAGAGGGTCAACTATGGATCAGTTCCAACTCAACGGTTCGTAACGACAACACCATTAAGTAGTTACATGAACTGGAAATAGTGCTAAACATGTCATTATCTTATTTGAGTCTCATAATGACCTCAGGAAAGGATTGTAATTATTCCTATTTTCACAGATCAATAGAAAGATGAATGTCTTGTCCTAGGTTATCCACCTAGCAAATGGCAGAGTCAGACCACAAACTTAGGTCTGCCTGCTCTCCATATTATTTTCACGTCTCACTGTGTCTCTCAAAGGCTGGGCTGCGTGTAGCACTTCTTCCCACCTTCCTTGGCAGCGCACTTCCAGCTCCAGTCCCTCCTGCTTCGCTAGAGCTGGCTGGCTGCGAGGAATTCGTGTCTAGGTGGCATTTCAGGCAGCCACATTCACTTTGTTTTCAAAACACACGATTTGGAACTGTGCCAAATCGTAGAGGGCGTATAACTGGAGGGCAGCAGGAAGCTGGATTTATCTTGAACTTCTTTCTGCTCCCTGGACGTGCCAGCCTGGGGTCTGACATCATCAAGCCCTAGAAAATCTTCCCAGTCCTGGTCTGGGCAGCGGCAACTAGAGGCCCAGCTCGCTGCTCATGAGCGCCATCTAGAGGGAACTGAGATTCCCCCCCCCCCCAAGTCACTGCAACTAAGTGTGCAGCACGCTTTTTTCCTCCTCGCTGTAGTCCAATTAGAACCAGCTCATAGCTAGCTGACCCTCCAGTGGGCTTTTGGGAGACTGTAAATCGTGTGGGAGAAGATTGTCCATCTTTCTCCCTCGGAATTGCTGGTGGATTTGTACTGCCAGAGAGGCCCACCTTTGGATTAGCAGCACTAGTGCACCCCAAAATATATCTAACTCTTCCAAATTACATACGAATTTGACTTAAAGATGGGATTAAGAACAGAACTAATTTGTGATCCTCGGATTGCCTCTAACTGTGTAGCAAGGGTAAAGAAAGACATTCCTACTGCCAGCCCTAAGGTGGGTGTTAAAGTGAAACTTTTTTCCCTGTTGCAGTTGAGAAGAACGGGAATCCCAGAACATTTGATTGTGCTAATGCGAAACCTATACTTGGACCAAGAGACAATTGTCAGAACAGAGCAGGGAGACACTACATGGTTCAAAATCAAGAAGGGGGTCCATCAGGGATGTATTCTGTCTCCATACCTTTTCAATCTGTATGCAGAACAGATCATCCGAGACGCTGGGCTGTATGAAGAGGAATGTGGCATCAGGATTGGTGGAAGTGTCATCAACAACCTGTGTTATGCAGATGACACAACCCTGCTTGCTGAAACTGAGGAGGACCTGAAGCACTTGCTACTGAGGGTCAAGGACTGCAGCCTCCTATACGGATTGAAGCTCAACATTAAGAAAACACAGATTCTCACCACTGGACCAATTGGCAGCATCAGTATGGATGGTGAAGAGATTGAGATAGTTAACAGTTTTAGTTTGCTTGGCACCACAATCAACACTCTTGGTAACAGGAGACAGGAAATCAAGTGACGAATTGCATTGGGAAAGTCAGCTGTGAGGGACCTCTCAAGAGTACTGAAGAGCAACGACGTCAGGCTGGAGACTAATGTGCGCCTGATCCGGACTATAGTCTTCACAATTATGTGCTATGCATCAGAGAGTTGGACAGTGAATAGGGTTGATAGAAAGAGAATTGATGCCTTTGAGCTGTGGTGCTGGAGAAGAGTGTTGAATTTACCATGGACTGCTAGAAGAACAAACAGGTTTGTCCTGGAGAAGGTGAAGCCGGAATGCTCCTTGGAGTCAAGGATTCTGAAGCTTTGTCTGACATACTTTGGGCATGTTGCAAGGAGGGACTGGTCCTTGGAGGGGGACATCATGTTTGGCAGAGTGGAGGGGCAGCGAAGAAGAGGAAGACCTTCGATGAGATGGATCAATTCTGTGATTGGAGCCGTGGGAATAAGTGCATTTGAGATGGCTAGGTTGGCACAAGATAGAACAGCATTTAGAGCTCTTGTATATAGGGTTGCTATGAGTCACGAACAACTCGATGGCACACAACAACAACAACAACAAGAAGTTTGTTCCCTGCTAACCCAGCTATCATTCCCACAACGTCATGGTGCGGTTCTGCCATACTTGTGACCAAGCCATTCCCTCTCTCCTTCTCTGCGCCTTCTCCTAGCCATCCATCAGGAAACTCCCATTCATCCTTTAATTCTCAGCTGCAATACTATCTCTTATATGAAAGTCTCCCTTTGACTTCTCAAGCCAGACTGAAATATTCTTTGTATGTTCCCATTGTGTGTTAGTGTATCTACTCCAAACAAAACCAAATCCATTGTTGTCAAGTCTATTCTCGCTCATAGTGACTCCATGTGTTAGAGAGTATAACTGTCCTGGGGTCCCCCCTCCTCCGTAATCTTTACAGAAGCAGATCACCTGGCTTTTCTTCCATGTGCTGCCAGGCACTTTCAAACCACTCACCTTTAACTTACAGATGAGTGCAAACCATTCACGCTGCCCATGCCCCTCTAAAATCAACTACCCTGCTGCCTGCCTCTCTACTGGTGGTTAGCTCCACAAAGGCAGAGACCAGGTGCATGGCCTGGGCAAAAAGATCACAACTCTAGAACTACAGACACAGTTTACTGAGTTTTCTGCATATTATAAAAACGTGAACAGACTGACCATATTTGAAACAGAGAATTTCATATGGAACAATAAGTGTCCAGCTTTTCTTGGAAAACTCATAGGCATGGCCCTGCATGCAGGACCAGCATTTCAGTAAAGCAACAATAAGAGGAATGAAATCGTTTGTGCTCCGTTCAGAGTGGGCATGTACTCTGTGATTTGCCTTGGTATCTATTAGCCAGCACTGTGTGCACCTTTATCCTTGGAAGATGTTAAATTGGCAAGAAGTTGCTCAACAAATGGGTTTGCCAAATAAAAGAGTGAATGCATGAACAAATGAATGAAATAATCCAAAAGAAAGATGAAATATAGAAAAAGTGCAAAAAATGGTTTGGGTAGTAGATAAGCTCTTTGATCTAAGGATAACAGAAGAAGAATTGATGTCTTTGAGTGGTGGTGCTGAAGAGGAGTATTGAGCTATTGAAAATGGACCTCAAAGAGAACAAAAAGGTTTGTTCTGAGAGACCAGGCTACTCCTTGGAGGCAAGAATTTTGAAGCTCCATCTCACATACTTTGGACATGTTGTCAAGATGGACCAGTCCTTGGAGAGGGACATCATGCTTGCAAGCGTGAAGGATCTGTGCAGGAGAGGAAGACCCTGGATTGATACAGTGATTGTGGTAAGGGTGTGTGTGTCAATAAATGTATGGGACATGAGGAGATTGGCTCAGGATAGGGCAGTGTTCATAAGGTCGCTATGAGTCACGGGCTACTGGACGGCACATAGCAACAACAACAGTGAATAAAGTAAACTGAGAAGACTTTTTCTGATCTTTTAGGTTTCCCATCTCCAATACTGACCCTAGGAAAAGCACTATAGGAGGGGGTCAGGAGGCTTCAATTATAAGCCCTGAACAGACATTCAATGAATGTGTGATTTGGTGACTTATGCTTCTATGACACCTGCTAAATAAACAGTTCAGCTTAAATCAATAGGACAACTGCCTTAACTGTCTTCACTCCACGCACAGGTCCTCATGACCTCAGCTCTCAAGTTTGACCTGGAGAAAGTTCTCCAGATAGTGATGGGCCAAGCAACTGGTCAGCTACCCAAGTGAAGGACCCACATCTCTGACTCAGGCCCATTAGTCTTATAGTTGTGAGTCCTAGAATTTGAATGCAACAGAACATAGGGGGTTTCCTCCTTTCTTCTACCTCTTATTTCCTCTATGAAAGAGCAGAGGGAGTGCCCATGCTGAAGGGACCTTTGAAATGAAGATCCGTGGCTTATTTTACCTTTCCATTGATGGTCTTTTCGGAGAGGAGGTGGCAGAAGACTTGGAGTCTGTGGAGTCCCTCCTGAAATGAGAGATTGAAATGATATTGTCTTGCACACTGACATGCATCCTGAGTCCTGAGAGCAGGGGAGAAAGCATCCCAGGCCAAGGCCACTGGAGCTAAGGATGAGGAGACCTGCCTCCACTGCATCTGCAGCAGGTGGGAGGACCCCCTGGCAGTGTTATTTATAGAACAAACCAGAAACATTTTTCAGTTATTGCAATCACCCATTATGAAAACCATTCAGAAGCATGAAAAAAATACTCAGAAAACATTACAAAGGCAAACTAACAGGAGACAAAGTAATTTGTACACTTCCTATCAAAATGAAAAAGTATGTAAACAGACCAGGCCTGGGAGGGGAATGGAAACAAAAACCGTTTTATTCATTGGAGGCCACACAACTGTGGGCAAAAGTTTCTCATTTTTATTTTCAAGTTCATAAATATACTTTTGGTGTTTTTGTTGTGTACCATTGAGTCGGAACCAATCCATAGCTGACCCTCCAGTGGGTTTTCGGAGGCAGTTAATCGCACAGGAGGAGACTGCCCATTCTTCTCCCGTGGAGCATCTGGTGGATTCAAACCTCATGCCTTCAGGATTGCAGTGCAGTTACTTGCCACTAGGCTACCAGCACCAGCGCTCCCTGATATAGGTTTTATATAATAAATCCTGATGGTAAGTTCTCATTACAAAAACGGAAACTTAAGTTCACCAGCTGAGCTGGACCAGGACCCTTGCTAGGCACACTCCTCCCAGCAAGATCCTCTTGTGTGTCTAGTCACTTTGACAGCTTCATATCATAGCTCCTGAGTTAAAAGGAAGTTACAATTCAACATCCCAGGGAAGTGTTCAAGATGTAAAATCTAAAGTACTTTCTAAAAACAGATGACTATTACACACAGAACTTAGGATATTTGTACTTTAGTGAATTCTTTAAAATGAACTCTCATCCCCCCCACCCCCTGTAGGTGCAGCAACTTCCCATGGGTCACCAGCACCATGTCCAGTGAGATGGTGGACACTGTACGTCTCTACATCAAGGCAGAGCCATCCAGCCTCAACAGCCTAAAGGGCTCCTTAAGAGACCGAGCCCAAACCCTCAGTGGCCCTGGTCCCAGGTCCAACTCCCACCCACTGCCCCCCAGGCTGCAGGAGGAGGGAGATGAGGAGGGGGCTGGGTCCTGTGAGGAGGGCAGTGGGAAGCAGGTGCCTCAGCCTGGTCTGTGGGGTTCTGACGTCCAGCTACCACGATGGCGTGGCACTCTGAGAGGCCTGCAAAGCCTTCTTTCAGAGGACCATAGATGGGGAGCCCCTCCTGTGCCTATGCCCTTGAGACCTCAAGCTACACCCTTGGTGGACTGCTGGGTGCAGTGGCCCTCAGATGGCCATGGTACCATTTGAGGTTGGCAGTTTCCTGTTCCTATGCCCTCCCACCTCCCAGCATCCTTTTCCCAGACAGTTATATAAAGTCCAGCAGGACTGTTAAAAAAAGAAGAACTTCCCGGCGCTGGCTGAAAATCGCCTGTGACTTCATCCATAGCCACTGGTGAGAGTCAGCGCCCAGAGCCATCAGGGGCTTTAAGCTCGTTGTCCACTGCTGTGGTGTGGACAGCTGAAACCCAGGCCCCGACAGGCACCTGGTTGGGGGGGGGACCCAGACTCTACTTCATGCTCTGCTGGAGAAGGAGGGGCAGTCTCCTGTACCAGTCAGATCCAATTTGACGGTACACACACACACACACACACACACACACACACACACAGTTTTTCTTCTTCTTTTTTAAAAAAAGACTACTTCAGCCCTCGCAGCCCTCTGCCTGGGGCGGGCTGCACTCGGCCTCCGGCTCGGGGTGAGCCGTCATGGCCCTCTGCCTGGGGCGGGCTGCCCTTGGCCCCCTGCCCAGGGCGGGCTGCCCTCAGCCCTCTGTCCAGGGTGAGCCGTTGTGGCCTTCTGCCCGGGGCGGGCTGCGCTTGGCCCCCAGCTCGGGGCGAACCGTCGCGGCCCTCAGGAGCAAGAAGGCAAGCAGCTGTAAACCAAGACCACCAGTAAGGTGATAAAGCGTCCTCCCTTCCCCCCTTTATATCTACGCCCCTGTTCAGCATGAAGAAGCCAGAGAGTCGGCATCCAATTCCCAAATCAATAAGACAGTTGGTTTAATTACTATTGGAAAATGCTTGTCATTCCTCTGTAGCATTTGGTCCCCACTGGACCCTCATTATTTCCTTCACCTGCTCCCCCCACAGACCAAACTGTGCAGCTCTGCAACTGCATCCTGGCCGATCCTCACCCTTCTGCCCCCAACCCTCACCTCCTTGTACCCCCAATATGTTTTTCCCAATAAAAAAATATTTTTTTAAAAAAAGAAGAACTTCCTGGCATGGAGTGGATATAATGGGTCAAAGATGTGTGCATTATAAAAATAGATATATAATGGGTGGCAGACGTCTTCAGTATTATCTAGTTGTTATTGTTGTTGTGTGTTATCAAGTCAAAACCAACCCATGGCTGACCCTCCAGCGAGTTTTCAGAGGCAGTAAATTGCATGGGAGAAGACTGTCCGTCCTTCTCACGGAGCAGCTGGTGAATTTGAGCAGCATGACTTGAGGATTGTAGGGGAATTTCTTACCACTACATCACTACCATCCCTTTACCTATTAAATAAACAGACATAGTCTATCAAGAAGGTAAGTGGTCTGAATAGTCACACCTGAAAACCCACCGCCGTTGAGTGCATTCTGAAGGGTGATCATCCACCACCAGGTTTCTGAGGTTGTTTATCTATCTTTGCAGGTAGACACTGCCCTTCTTTCTTCTGTGGAGCAACTAGTGGGATGCAAACCACTGACTTTTCAGTTAGCAGCCCAATACATAAACCCCTGCACCATCAGAGCTCTAGTCACATAGGAAACAAAAAACCAAGCCAGTTGCTGGCCTGTGGGTTCGGCCTCCCAGTGATACCCATGTGTGCCAGATTGAACCGTGCTCCATAATGATTTCAATGGCTGCATTTTTCGAAGCCAATTTCATGCCTTTCTTCTACACAAAGAATAAGTAGGAATTATTCATACATCCATGAAGGCTTTTATCTGTCTGGAAAGACAAGGCACTTAGATCCTATCTGAAAGTCACAGAGGTTTGGGGGGCAACTTGACTGAGGTGAGCCAAGAGCCAAGGTTAACAGGCTCAGAATTGAGACAAAAGATAGTTCTGTTCCTCTCAGTGGAGACCTGGAGTCTGATAGATGAAGATCTGAATCTTCCTCTGTTGCTTAACAGCTGTGTGTTCTTAGGACAGTCACTGCTCCTTTCACCTTCAGCTTCCTCAACACGAAGTGGGAAAGCTGAGTATAGAGTTAACGAGATGCTTTCCCTTTTCTATGGACAAATAAGGTCCTAGTCTTATTTACCCTTGTAACCTGATACAGGTGGAATATCAGTGGTGTTACCAGGCAACATCGCTTACAATAAAAGCGATAGCTGATTTTCGAATTCTGTTAAGACCAGAAAGGCTGTGAAGGAATTATAAATAATAAATTATAAATAATGTGGAAAATCAAAGTGTTTCTCTGCTCTGAGCTGGTGAATGATCACTGTCCTTGCTGGGACAGGGACCGTTACAAGATTTGGGAGATGAGGCTTTTCAGTCAGGAGGTCCCCACACTTTGCAGCCTCCCTTTTTTTTTCTTTCTTGTTGTGTATCGTTCAATTGGATTCGACTGGCACAGGAGGAGATTGCCCCTCCTTCTCCAGAAGAGCATCTAGTGGATTCGAACCACATGCCTTCAGGACTGCAGTGCAGCTTCTTTGCCACTAGGCCACCAAAGCTCCCTACATTGGAGCTTCTTGTGAAACACCCATCATGTGGGTGAACCAGAGACGGTGAGCACTACATGTGGCCTTCTCTGAGCATGCATCAGGCTACCCTGCAGGCACATGACATTCTGTCCCTGCCTCCTCTTTGGTGGAGTCAGTGCCAACTGGCACCTCTGGGTCTTGTGCATCTGTCTGATTGAGTCAAAGACTCCCAGAGGTGGGACAGCTGGCGGCAGTAACAATAACCACCAGGCAGGGTGTGAGGGCAAAATGCAACCTTAGAAGCAGAGCTGCTGGCAGAGGGTGTGACAAGTCTCAGCATCCTTCCCCCTACCCCCCAAATATTTGTTACCTGTCTTTGGGCTCTTCCTTTTGCTTCTTCCTCGGTGGAGAAAGACCTGTCTCTGGCTTCCAGTCTGCACAATCATGTTTTTTTTCATTCTTCTTTGCTTTTTCTCTTTCTTCTCCTTTTTCTCCTTTGGGGGGCCCTGGGGAGTCTGAAAACAACAAAGAAGCACTGTCCCTCAGCTCAGTGGTACCAAAGCAGGACTCAGCATGGCTCTCGGGAGGAGAGAACAAAGGGCAGCCCCCCAGCACGTGCACACAAATATACATTTGGACACAGCCACACGACATGACTACACAAGACACATGTGTGCAAACACACACTGTCACATGGAAATATAACTGCATTTACACACAGATCTGTGCGCGTTTTCATGGTTGTATACACACATAAATCCAGCCTCCATTGAGCCCACCTCACTCAGGGCAATCCCGTGGGTGTCAGAGAAGGGCCGTGTGTCAGTGGGTGGTCTTTCAAAAGTAGATTACTTTGAAGGGGGACTGTACAACAATGAAAGAATTTTTTTCAAAGAGAAAAGAAAACTGGGGGTGGGCAGGGAGGAAAAAGTGCAACAATGAATGAATAGAAATTCAAGTTCTCTAAACTTTCATTAAAATCTCAATTAAAGAAAGGAAATGACAATAAAAATAAAGGATGATCATCTGTACTACTCAGGGACTCCATGTATATTCCTAGGTTGTTGTTGTTTTGTGCTGTGGAGTCCCTTGATACATGCACCATATACACAAACACAGGGGAGCTCTGGTGGCCTAGTGGCAAGAAGCTGTGCTGCAATCCCAAAGGCACGTGGTTTGAATCCACTAGCGGGAGTCTGGACAATCTCCTCCCATGTGATTAACTGCCTCTGAAAATCCGCTTGGTTTTGACTTGATGATACTCAACACACACACATGCACAAATACAAGCACACAAACAAATACATGCATATATCGGTATGTAAAAGCTCACATCTAAAATGTTTGCACGTGTATACACAGACACAGCATTCCTAACTCCCTGATCCAGAACACACTTGTCATTTATTAAGTCATTCAACAAACACACACTGAATGCTGCTGGGTGCCAGGCATTGTTCCAGCGAATGTGGATGGAGACAAACACCAACTCCAGTCTTCCTGGCCTCTCTTACCCAAGAGCCGCTTCCAGTTTTTGATGAGGACTTTGGCTAAGGACACCACCTCCTTATCTGAGCAGTGCTTGCGGACCCCATTAACAGCAACTCCAATCCTGGTGGTCTGCAAAGCAAGATGGGTAGTTGCAGGAATGGGCACCAGGACTGGTGATCCTATGTCAGCCATCCTCTTCCTCCTGATCCCTCCAGGGCCCCAGCTCTGACTTATGGATGAAACAATACTTTCCCTGATCCTATAACTGAGGCCCTGGCCTGACCCCTACCCTAATGAGACCCTTGGCTTTGGTCAAGCTGAGGAGGGAAGCTTTAACTGATGCTCAGGACCCCTGCCTTTCTCAGACTCCTCGTGTCTTTGAGCCCAAGTTCCAATTTAGACGAAGCTCTGGTTACCACAGTGTAGGTTTTGAGGGCCAACAGGCTTCTAGTAAAATCTGGAGGCTATAAGAGCAACAAAGGGAGGATCTAAAACCAAGAGCGCTTTCCCCTCTCCCTGGATCACTGGATTCTTGGATTCCACAGGCCTGAGGCCCTGGGAAAGGGGGTGTTTGAAGAAAGAAAACCAGGCTTTTAGACTTAGAAGGGTCCCAATGCTTGAAGGCACCCTGTTTCTAACTTACTATTTCAGTATCTCCCTCAGTCCCCACCCTCAGAGGTCTGTATCTCAAGACTCCCCTTTTCTTAGGTTTTCAGAAATTCTTCCTAGAACTCCTCCGTCATTGTCATCTCCTACTAAAAGTGTCTTCCCTGTCCCCAAAATCCAGGCAATTCCCCAGGACTCCCCACCCTATCCCAGCCCACCTGTAGTAGCTGGATGGACATCTGACAACTGTTCAGCTTCTTCAGAAGGTCCAGGGCCCCTGCCTGTGAAAGGCAACAAGGTGAGAACCGAGGTCCATGGTTTGCGCACTGGGTCCCAGGTCTCTGACTATAGCATGGTCTTGGTAGGAGAGAGGGAGGTGAGAGGGATGAGATGAGACCATTCCAGTTACAGGATGTTGTTGTTGATTGCCTTCAAGTCAAGCATGGCTCATAGCAACCCTATGAAAAGGCCTGAAGCCCCTCTACAACTATGAACCTTTATCAAACTTCATAGAGTTTCTGGAGGCATGTTATTTGGGAAGTGGATGCTACTCCTACAGACAGACAAAGGGTGGAAGAACGGGAAAGGGAGAAGAGAGAAGGAAAATGCTGGTCCAGACTAGCCCTCTAACCTCACCTTATTCCTGCTGACCCTTCTACCAAGCATGCTCTTCCCCACCCCACACTCCCCCCAGGTGAATCTAGACATGGCTTGTTAGTGTTTCTGTATCCCACCCCCCCACACGGTGAGAACTGTAGACTTTCAGACGTACATTGAAGGTCTAAGTGGACTTCTAATAGCGCACAATTTGATGAATTTTGGCATACACGTACACTCATGAAACCACCACCACAATCAAGATGTGGACAAAGTCATCACTGCAAGTTTCCTCACGTCACTTTGTAATTTATCCTTCTCTCTACTCCCCCACCCCGGGCCCAGGCAACCAGTGAGCTGCTTCGTGTCACTGTAGATGAGCTTGCGTTGTAGGGTTTTATATGAAGAGTACTGCATGGGGTTCGGGGCAAGAAGGAAGAGTGGTGGCTTCCTTCATTCAATTATTGTCATATAATCATTATGAGATCCTTCCATGCTATTGTCTGGGTCAAATGTTGTTCTTTTTTATTGCTGAATAATAGTTTTCCATTGCAGAGTGTACCATAATCTGTTTATCCATTCACCTGGTGATGGGACTCTGGGGTAGTTATCAGTTTGGGGCTATTACAAATAAAGTTGTTATAGGGAGCTCTGGTGGCCTAGTGACAAGACGCTGCACTGCAATCCCAGAGGGATGCGGTTCAAATCCACCAGATTCTCTGCTGGAGAAGGAGGGGGCAATCTCCTCCTGTACCAGTCAGATCTGATTTGATGGTACACGTAAAAATAATACAATAAAAATTAAAAAAATAAAAATAAAGTTGTTATGAGTATTTGTGTATAGATCCTAATGCGGATATATATTTTTATTTCTCTTGAATAAAGTTGTTGTTGTTATGTGCTATTGTGTCAAAATTGACTCATAGTTGACCCTCCAGCAGGTTTTCAGAAGCAGTAAACTGGACTGGAGGAGATGGCCCATCTTTCTCCCTCAGAGAAACTACTGGATTTGAACCACATTCCTTTGGGTTGGCAGTGCAACTCCTTAACCTCTAGGCCACCAAAGCTTGCTCTTGGATAGAAAGAATTATTCGTATATCTGAGATTTTAGAGCTCAGTACAAAGCCCAGTGCTTCCTATGTGAATGAATGGATGAATGGGTGACTGAGCAATGAAAAATACCCAAAGTAGGAAGTGGGAGAGGAATGTAGGAGGGGACCAAAGGGTACTCAGAAGAGCATGCCTGCTAGCTACCAGGCTCTAAACACTCCTCGCCCATTTTAGCCTCTCTCTTCCCACCCCCTTCCCAGCAGCCAGCCTGAGCCTCCTGGCTTGCTCGGTTCTCTGGGGAGCACCAGCTGACTATTCTGTATGTCCCTTCCTTGCCTCCCTGCTCGGTTCCAGCTTCCAACCTCCCACATTGCCCAACTCCTGGATCATATTCCAAGGGAGCCTCCCTAAGTCCTCAGCCTCCCTCAGAACTTAGGTTCACAGGATTTTATTTCAGTGATGTGTCCTGTGGATATATGTGTGCATGCAAACCTGTGGTCATACAACTCTGTGTAACATTAAATGCTTGCAAAGTGCACACTATTCAAAGTCTTTTACATGTATTATCTCATTTAACACTCACAACCATCCTATGAGATAGGTATTTATCACTATCCCCGATTTTACATAATTACAATGCATTTTTACAGAGGAGAGATTAAAAAAAAAAAATCTAAAAAACAGGTCAAATAATTTTCCCAAGGATATAAAGCTTGTGAAAAGCTGAGCTAGGAATCAAAGGTTGAGGGTCAGCATAAGGGAGGAAGACCTTCAATCAAGCGGATGAACACAGTGCCTATAGCAATGGGCTCAAGTGTGTCCGAGATGGTGAGCACAGCACAGCATAGGGCAGATCTCAGATCTGTTGTTCATATGGTGGCTGTGAGTCAAAGTCAATGTGATGGTACCTGACAACAGCGAAGTCAACAGTGGGCACGTGCCTCTGTGTGTCACAGCTCTATGGTGGGACAGCCACATTTCCCTGTGCACAAAGGATATGTATGCACTTGGGGGTGTCTCTGTCCATGTGGGGCTGAGTATCTGAAGTTTCAGAATGCCTTTGTCTATTTGTCTTTTGAGGTGATGCTTGTATATGTTAAGTGTGGCTGTTTGCTAAATCTTTAGTTATATGTGTCTGGGCATAGCTGTGTTTTGTATATGAATGTAGTTGTCTTTGTGTATTTGCATGCATGTGTGTATTTTTTTAAAAGAGCTCATTTGTTCTAACTTCTACTTTTTTCCCCTTGAGTATTTTTTCCTGTTTTTTTGTTTTGTTTTGTTTTGTTTTGTTTTTCCCCAGCACCATTATAGATGGAGAGGAGACTGAGACTGTTAAAAATTTCACCTTGCTCAATTTCACAATCAACACTCTTGGCACCAGCAGTCAGTAAATAAAATGATGAATTGCACTGGGAAAATTTGTTGTCGGGGACAGACTTTTCCAGCATGCTTAAGAATAATATCAATCTAGAGACTAAGGTGTGCCTAATATAGGCCATGGTCTTTGCAATTACTTGCTATGCATCAGAGAAGTGGACAATACCTAAGGATGGCAGAAGATGAATCAATGCCTTTGAGTTGTGGTGCTGGAGAAGAGTATGGAACATACCATGGACTGCCAAGAGACAAACAGGTTTGTCCTAGAGAGGGTGAAACCAAGTTGCTTTATGGAGGCAAGGATCTTGAAGATCTGTCTCATATACTTTGGACACATGGCCAGGAAGGACCAGTCCTTGGAGGAGGCAGCATGCTTGGAAGGGTAAAGGAACAGTGTAAGACAGAAAGACTCCAGAGGAGATGATTTGGAACAGCAACTGGAGTAATGAGGTTAGGTGTGTCAGGGACAGTGAGATTGGCTCAGGATAGGACCAAGTTCAAAGTGATTGTACATACATAGGGTCACTGTTTCAGGCAATTGGATGGCATGTAACAATAATAAGATAGAGTTTACAAAACATATTGATTTTTTATCATTCATATATTATTTACAATTAATTAATGTTTAATTACAATATCTGATCAACCTCTTATTGTATATTGCCTTTTACTTCACTTAGTGTCTTATCTATTAATTTTTACTCCCCTTCCTTCCTTCTTTCCTCATAAACATCCAAAAGGGATTCTGTGTGTAAAAATGTTTCTAGCTTTTTATAATAGTGATCTGCTACAATCTTTGTCCTTTTGTGACTGACTTGTGTCACTTACCATAATTTCCTCCAGATTCATTCACATTATGTAGTGTTGCACGAATTCTTTATTGTTCTTTATTGCTGCATAATACTCCACTGTGTGTGAATGTACCATGGTTTCTTTAACTATTTGTATATTGATGGAGAATTTGGGTTTTTTCCATTTCTTTGCTATTGTAAATAATGCTGCAATAAATGTCGTTGTGTTCCATGAATTGGAACTAATTCACAGCAGACCCTTCAGCAGGTTTTTAGAGGCAGTGAATCACATAGGAGGAGATTGCCCATTTTTCTCCCGCAGAGCAGCTGGTGGATTTGAACTGTGTGCCTTTTAGATGGCAGTGAACTCCTTGACCACTAAGCCACCAGAGTTCCCTGCAATAAATATGGATGTGTATACGTCAGTTTGTGCCACAGCTCTTATTTCTTTAGGATATATGCCTGTTAGTGAGATTACTGGATCAAATGTCAAATTGTATTTGTGCTTTTAATATTCTGAGGAAGCACCAGGCTGCTTTCCACGGTGGTTAGTGACACCATTCCCACCAGCAGTGTAAGAACCTTCTAATCTTTCCACGTCCTCACCAATATTTGTTGTTTCCTGTCCTACTGAACTTTACTATTGCTGCTAAAGTGAGAGGCTATTTCACAGTTGTTTTAATTTGCATCTCTGATGGCCTAGTGGGTAAGGAATTGTGCTCCCAACACAAAGGAAGAAGGTTCAAATCCACCAGCTGTTCTAAGGGATGAAGATGGGCAATCTACTCCTGTGTGATTTACTGCCTCTGATAACCCGGCCAGCTATGAGTTGGTTCTGACTTTATAGCAATGAGAGAGAGAGAGAAAGACAGAGACAGAGAGAGAGAGAGATTATCTAATGATCTGAATGTCTTCTTTGGTAAAATATCTTTTCATGGCCTCTGCCCATTTAAGAAATGGTTTTGTGTCTCCCTTTAGAAACTGCCAGGGTCAGTATGTTTGTCATGTCAGTTAAAGGCAGATATATCTGTAGTTTCCTGTTCAGCTAATATAGTGTGTGGCTACATGTGTGCAGAGTTGTGTGTTTTTTGCAAGTAATTATGTGCATGTGGAGCTGTAATTATTGGTGTTCAGCTGTAAATTTGAAGTGGTTTCAGCCAGGGCACACTCACTGAATCCAACAAAAGCTCCAAGTCCCTGGGACTTTAGCAACTGGCACCAAACCACAGGCCTGAGCTGCAACGTGGAGGATCCGTCTTATTACAGGAAGTGTGTCCTTCTCTCCCTAACCACCACAGGGCGGGCCCACTTTCACTCCCAGAGCGGGCCCCACCTTCTCGGCCAGATGCCCAGAGCTCTGTGCCCACCCGGATGCTGCCAAGAGCCCAGGCGCAGACGTGGCTACAGACTGGCTCTGTGCTGCGAGGACCCTGAAGCCAGCTTCGCATCTTCTCTGGAGAAAGCTCTGGATACTTCCACAGAGACCCATCCCCAAGGGACACTATTTCCTCTTCTCATGTCACAGAAGAGGAAACTGAGGCCAAGAGAGTGGCTTCCTGAGGCCATAAAAGCAATGAAGGTGAAAAGTCCCTTCCTCTTCAGCCAGAGCTCTACCTCCCCACCCTGACCAAACTGCCTTTCCCCAAACCTCCCAAGCTTCACCTCCTCTTCCTACCTTACTCCATCCCTTGAATCCGGAAGCTGAGCCTCTTTCCCAGTGTAAGTCAGTGAACAAGGGGTTGCAGTAACCTGTCTACTCAACAAGAACTTCACCTCTAAAGGCCTTGACTGGGCTCCACCACCACTATGCAGGAAAGTGAGCCAGGTGACTATGAGTTTTACCACTTTTGGAGGGCTGGGGTGGGTAGAGTTTGGAGTGTTGGAATGAGAACCCTTCTGTGGGCTAATCCTATGCCCCTCCTAACTCTTCACGGCTGTGCAGAAGCAGACCTCAACCAACTCTCATCAACCACAGACCTTTACATACACATCTCATCTCTTCAACCCCCACAAATGCCAGCATATACCCCGCTCCATGAGTGATGTAATTTCATCTCCTTACAGATGTAGAAAAGGAGGGTCTGGCCTCTAGAAAGTAACACATTACACTTCCTTATCTACTCCTGGGCTCACTGACAAGCCCTGAGGTGGACCTGGCAAATAGAAAAATTGTACCCCTGCCCAAACATCTGATATCAATCTTAAATAGTTAACATAATCAAGCACTTTTTCAGCTTAACAATCAAAACTCTGCCTTGAGATCCAATTATTCATTTTTCACGAAAGAGCTCTTTCTTTTTTCAACAAAGTAAAACAAAAAAACTGGCTCTTGCACTTTCGCCTGATTGCCTTGGTCCTTCAGAAGCTTCCGGTAACATTTTTTCTTCTTTTGGATGGTAGGGTACATTAAAACAGTCCCCAGTGGCTGGAAACATTTTAGGGGAAAAGAGTGAGTCTTGTGGGTTTGTGGACTGGTGCTCGGGTCAGGCAGCAGATTCCTGTTGGCTGGGACTCCGAGGGGTGTTGGAGTGGAAAAGGGGAGTAGGTACAAGGAGGCAAGTGGGTGGGTGAGTGGAAAAAGGAAACAGTGAGAAAGGGAAGCAAGTGGAGAAGAAAACCCTGACCATAGGAATCAAAACCCAATCCAACCCACTGCCAGGCAGTGAAGTCCAACTCACATGATCCTACAGAACAGAGGAGAACTGCCCCGTAGCATTCCCAAGGCTCTAAACCATTAGGAAAGCAGATTGCAGAAAGCTCCCTGGGGGCTGCTGACAGGTTCCAACTGCATGTCTATCGGTTTGCTGCGGAGCACTTTAACCACTGCAACACTTTGAAGCCAGGAGTAAGGGTTCTCAAATAGAAAATACTGTATTCGCTTAAACTTGCTGCATGAGCTCTCACAGCTGGCGAAGGAAAAGTGCTATAGAACCCGCTAGACTTATCTGCCCGTGCCTTAGACAGGCCTGTGCAGCCAGCCCTCCCTCTCCAGGCTCTGTTAACTTCCCTTAAGGTTCACCCCTTTCCCAAACGCCTAGTGATGGTGGGACAAGAGGTCGCTATCTGAACTTCCCATGCCCAGGGTCTTCTGTCCTCTCTTTTCTCTCAGAGATGAACCCATGCCCTGCACAGCACCAAAGCCAAGTTTGCTATGACCGGGCCCTGCCCAGTCGGAGGCAAAGATCACGCAGAAATCAAACATTAACTTCAGATCTGGCGCTGCGCTCTGGGCAACTGCACAGAGATCCCTGAGACCCTCGGGAAGGCCCGTCCTTTGCCCACCTGGGCCGGGCAGCCCAAGCCTCTGTCAGTCAGCCCAGCCCTCTCCCCGCTCCACCCCCCCCCCATCCAGCCCAGTACCAATCCCAATGGCACTGTGGTCGCCCAGCACCTGTTCGCCCCGCCACTCAACCCCGCCCCATTCAGCCCTTCCCCGCGCGCAAACAGAAAATTGCAACCAGACGCAATGTCCCACTAAGCACTCCTCCGCTCCTCTCCCCAGATCCACTTTGGGGTGCAGCACTCCTCATCTCTCCGGCACTCTTCATCTGCTCAAGTTTCTTTGCTCCTTCTAGAACCCCCTCGGAATTCTGCCTCCTTCCTAGCCAGCCCCTCCTCTTCACCCCTCAACCCCTGTCCCACCACCCTCCGCTCCTGGAGCTTTGCACAGGTCTTGCGTCCTGGGACTCTGCAAGTCTCCTCAGGTTCAAGTTTTGTCGCCCACTTTCCCGGACTCTCCTGAAACGACTCAGAAGCCTCCTGAACCCCACAAGTGTAGAGGGACGTGCAAAAGCCGCCCCTTCAGCGCCCTAGTCTATGCACACACCCACCCCGAGACGCCCCACAGTCCCAAAGCGACGCAGAGCTCTGCGCAAGCTGCGCCTCCTCGGGTCCGCACGCGCCTCCTGGGCGTCCCGCCAGCACGCGCCCCCGGGACGCCCGGGACTCCCCGGCTCGCCTGCGCCGCGCCTCGGGGGCGGGGGCCCAAACTCTGCAGCCTCACCGTGTGTTTCCTGGCCACCATCTTCTCCAGCTTCTTGCCGATCTTCAGTAACTCCTCTTCCTGGCCCATGGTGACCTGCGACACCCACGGGGGCTAGCAACTTAGGGGAGCAGGGGGCGGCGGCGCAAAACTGGAAGACACACGACCCGCGCTAGCCCAAACACACATACGACACACACGACTGGCGGGGGGCGGGGTTCTCCCCCCATCTCCCCACCCCGGCGGGGAGGAGGGGAGCCTGGTGCGCTCTAAATATAGACTTCAAGGACTCGCCCGGGCAGAGTGTTCGTGCCAGCCCGCCGGGCCTCAGGAGAGGGAGAGGCCGCGAGAGAGGGCCCTTCGCCCCTGCCCCTTCTTGGGAGGTGACGGGTTGAAAAGAGATCGGAGACCCAATTGGGGAATCTGTCGTCCCGGGACACGACAACGGCAGGAGGAGCCTAGGGGTGCCCCAGGAACTCGGAAAAGAGTTCTGGACTCCTGCACTTGGGCAGCTGAAAGCTGGCGCACCTCATTTCACGCCCGTGCCATCAAACCAAGGTTACTTGGTGAGCTCAAAGCTCGTCAACTTAATCAAGCTAAATCCAACTCATTAGCGTTCACTCATTTTTGCAAAAGGTCTGTATACACGCGAATATCCAAGCTCTCCGTTTACATCTTAGAGTGCAAACCCAAAGTGTGCATAATTTTGCATGCACCGGCTGTTTTGTTACATACTGTTTTCCATTTCCAACAAGTTTCCAAGTGCAGCGGTGTGGTGCGGCTGCAGAAACTGAGAGGTCTCTACAACTTTGAATATCCAGAGATTCTTAAGGATCTTAGAGAAACACTGATTCAGATGCATGGGTTTTCCTTTATTCACTCAGGATCAGGTCACTGTCACTGTCTTGGGGTTGAGTCTGGAGGGGTTATCTTGGGCTGGGGAAGGCATATAATTGAACTCCCCTCCCTCCCGCAACTGTGCACACCCTTGCCTTGCTCTGGTAGAGTGACTTTCCCTTGCAGACTTGAATCCTTCTTAAGCAAGTTAAATGACAGAAAATTAATTTTCTGGGAAAAAGAGAGCATGGGATGGAGCCGAAACTTAAAGACCTGTTGTTGTGCTCCTTAGAGCCAGTTCATAACGACTCCCAAGAAGTCTTCAGAGGCTGTTCCTGAGTCTCTGATGCATTAGAATCACATACCTTTGAATTGGCGGCACAACTCCTTACCTCTAGGCCAGCAGCACATTTTAAGGGAGTATCTGTTAGGTTTTGAGTCATGCCAAACTATGCCAATACTGTGTGTACAAATAACTATAGGGTTTTCAAGACTTTGATCTTTAGGAAGACTGTCAGCTTTGCCTCTTCGGAGGCACCACTGGGTAAATTCAAGCCACCAGCCTTTGGCTAGTAGTTAAGTACTTAAGCATTTGTGACACTCAGGGACTCTTGGGGATCTGGAACAGAAGCTTTAAAAAGTGCCTTACACTGTGTGTGGGGCAGATCTGTTCCTTGGGTGTCCACAAAAGTGACCAGGCTTTCCTAAAATACTTTATTCTTAGATAATCCCTATTCCTGCCTAAGTCAAGGAGACAGCCTAGTAACAACTGCTGCTCTCTCACCTGATCAGCATAGGCAGGGGTGGGATTTCCCCCCCCCCCACGAAGTTAACAAATATTGAGTATCCAAGCAATGAATAAGGCAGGACCAGTACCAGGCAGTGGCCTTGACATGAATGAACAAAGAAGACCTACACACCTTTTAAGTTTATTGACTAGAGAAGTCTTAAAGCGGCAGACATATTCAATTGCTGTGTTTGTAATAACTGGGGTGAGATCAAAGATATGTTTAAGGACATACTCATTCAAAGTGGTTTTCATCAACTTGGGTTAATCTCCTCTAAAGAAATGAATTGTCAAAAAAGGAGAAATTGTCAACTTTGGGCTGAATGAAGTGTGGAGTAGGAGTTGGACGATGTTCAGAGGGAAAAAGGAGGAAGCATTCTTTCACCAAATATTTATTGAGCACCTATCGCTACCAGGGAGCTCTGGCCCTGGGCATCCCGTGAGAAGCGAAACAGCCCTGGTAGGTTTCTGAGTGTGCTGTGAGGTTTCTGGGATGAGAGGGTGCTTGGTGTGTTGGTGTTTCAGGAACTGAAAGACCAGTAAGTTTGCAGCACAGGAGTCTGGAAAGTTCTGGGAGAGAGGAAGTAGAGATAGACAGGTGGAGCCCTAGCACCACAGAGCACTACAGATCACTTTTAGATGTAGACTTTGATATATTGGGGTTTGGGGTGGTTTCTTGACCAAATCCTCAGCCAAGCCCTCCTGGGATGAAGAGGCAGTAGAAAGATCTTGGCTGGTTACAATTATTAAGGATTGCCTTTTAAGATGAACCAAAAACCCAACATATAGGCTTTTCTTCAAACTTCTGCTGGGTTTCCACCCTGAACTGAACAACATCAAAAGACACCAAAGATCCTGCCTCATCAGAGCTCTAAGGACCTGAAGAAAATGCTGAGTTTAACCCTTTCGTTGTAAAAACAGTGTGATGATCAGAGGGTGATTAAATGCTCAGGGTTGCACAGCTTGACTGTGGAAGAGATTATTGATGCCTACCAGATCCCTTCTGCCTCCCTTGAAGGTCACCTGCGGCTAAGCCCCAGACATAACCCAGAGTCCCTCCTCTCTGAGGGCTTTTAGGACAGGCTGGAAGAGCTTGGGAAATAATGCCATGGTGGTTGTTGTTAGGTGTCTTTGAGTCATGTACAACTTAAAGCAACTCTATGAACAACAGATCTGAACCCTGACCTATCCTGTGCCATCCTCACAATCTCTGACATACTTGAGCTCATTGCTGCCATCAATCTATCAGGCTGAAGGTCTTCCTCTCTTTCACTGACCCTCTACCTGTCCAAGCATGATGTTCCTCTCTAAGGAAATAGCCTTTCCTAACAACATGCCCAAAGTATGTGAGCTTTGTCAACTTTGCCTCCAAGGAACATTCTGGCTGTACTTTCTCTAAGACATATCTGTTTGTTCTTTTAGCAGTCCATGGGATATTTAGTTCAAACACCACTACTCAAAGGCATAAGTTCTTCCTTTATTGTCCTTATTTACTGTCTAACTCTCAGATGCATAGGAAATGATTGGAAAGATCATGTTCTAAATAAGGCACACCTTAGTCCTCAAATTGACATCATTGCTCCTCAGTAAGTTGGAGAAGTCCCAGACTGCAGAATTTTCCAATACAGTTTGTCTCCTGACAGCTGATACTAAGTGTGTTGATTGTGGATCCAAGCAACATTAATTTATTGACAATTTTAACCTTTTCTCCACCATGATGTTGCCCATTGGTCTAGTGGTGAGAATCTTTGCTTTTTTTTTTTTTACATTGATGTTCAAAGCAGTGTTATTCACAATAGCAAGAACATGGAAACGGCCTATATATCCATCAACAAACGAGTAGATTGAGAAACTATGGTACATTCTCACAATGGAATAGTAGGCACCACTCAGGACCAACAATTTTGTAAAATGCTATATAACATGGTAGAGTCTAAAGGGCATTATGCTGAGTGGACTAACCCAGTCTCATAAGGACCAATACTGCATTAGACCATTATTGTAAAAATAGAAGGATAACTAGTAAGCAGTGTATAAAAGTCCAAAAGGGGAAAGGGAAGGAGCAAGGTCAGGAGTGCAGGGAGGGGGGAATTTCTAGGATGGCAGAGTTTGGTGGGTGGAGGAAGGTTTGAAGGAATTAGGACAGATTCAGTGGGGACCTGAAAAGACCTAGTAAGAGCCAGCATAGATCAATGGTTGTTATTGTTGTTATGTGCTGTCGAGTCGCTTGCGACTCATAGTGACCCTATGTACAACAGCCCTAAACCCTGCTCTATCCTGTGCCAAGTGCACTGCCTCTGACACACCCATGCCGATTATTCCAGTCACTGAATCAATCCACCTCATAGAGGGTCTTCCCCTCCTGTGCTGTCCCTCCACGCTCCCAAGCATGATGTCCCTCTCCAAGGACCTGTCCCTCCTTACAACATGTACAAAGTATGTCAGACGAAGCCCCAGAATTCTTGCCTCCAAGGAGCAGCCTGGTTTAACCCTCTCCAGGATGAATCTGTTTTCCTGAGAATCTTTGCAAAGGCTTCAGTCTTTGATCTTCTGCAAAAAGCTCTTCAAGTCCTTTTCACTCGCAAACAAGATTCTGGCATCTGCATAACGCAGGTCACTAATGAGTCTTCCTTCGATCCTGATCCTTTCCTAAAATCAGGAAAGGTGTGCATCAGGGTTGTGTCCTTTTCCCATATCTATTCCTTCTGTTATGCTGAGCAAATAATTTGGGAAACTGGACTCTATGACGAGGAATGTGGCATCAGGATTGGAGAAATGCCACAGTTAAGGATCCCGAATCAGTCAGAGTTCTTGAAAGAAACAGAACAAACTGGATATTTATTTCAATTATAATTGGCTCATGCAAGTCAGGCCAGCAAGTTGGAGACTGAAGGAGTTGTTGCTACAGTCTTGAGGCAGAATTATCTTCTTTGGGAAATCTCAGTTTTCTCTCTTAAAGCCTTTGACTGATTGGGTGAGGCCTACCTACACTTTCTAGGTTAATCTTTACTTAAAATCAACTGATTGTAGATGCCAACCACATGTGCAAATTATCCTCACAGCAACACCTAGATTAATGTTTGATTGGCATAATCAGGTACTGTTAGTCAGCCTGCTCTGAGAAAGAAAGATGAGCAATCGTCTCCTGTGCAACTTGTTGTTGTTGTGTACTATCGAGCTGAAACTGACCCATAGCTGACCCTACAGCAGGTTTTCAGAGGCAGTAAATCTCATGAGAGGAGACTGCCCATCCTTTTCCCAAGGAGCAGGGGGTGTGTTCAAACCACATGCTTTCAGGATTGTAGTGCAGCTTCTTACCACTAGGGCACAGCCTCTGAAAACTTGCCTGAGGGTTTAGCTCTGAGTGGGTTCCAACTTGATGGCACATAACAACCTACTTCAGCCATGCTGACATGTAAAACACAAACCCAAAAGAAAAATTCAGAATTTGTACAATTATTGCCAATGTCAGCTGGATCTTGGCTGAAAACAAGGTGTACAAGTGCAATGTCTATTTGTGCTTCTTGATTATGCAAAAAGATTTGACTGTGTGGATCACAAGAAATTGTGGTTAACCTTGAGTAGAATGGGAATCCTGG